CCGCCACGAACAAGTACATCCTCGCGATCACCAGCGGATTTGCAGGCACGCCGAACGGCTCGAGCCGCAGCACGCGCATTCCCTATCTCGTGTTGCTCGAATTGGTCGTTGACGCAGTCGGCCGGCCGCAAAGCGCCATCTTCTTAAACAGAAAACTCGCAGCGAACCAGCTCAAAGTGTCGCCCGCGAGCCAACTTTCGCTGCGCGGCCTCGGAACTGTTGCGCAGGTTCGCCTGAACGTCGCGCAAACGGACGCCGAGGTGTCTGCGCTCTGCGTAGTCGGCGGACTCGCTGTGCACGACTCAACCGAACTACTGCTCAACGCGCTTGGCGAAGCCGAATCTCGCGCGTACCTCATCTCGTTCTTTCCGTTTGACCCGCTCTCCGTCTACACCGAGCCCGACGCCGCAGCGCCGGTCGCCGACGCCGTTCCGCCGCCGCTCTCGCTGTTCCAAAAACGCAAACCAAATCTGCGCGTGGACCCGCATCTTACCGACACGATTCGCCAGCTGATGCAAAGCGACGTTCCGTGGAAACGCAGCGCGGTTCTGACCGCTCGGACTTTTGGATTGTACGCCTGCACAATGAAGTGGCCCTTCACTGCCATCGGCAACTTGCTCACCAACGCCTCCGCGCTCAGCAACCGCGCCACCCACCTCAGCGTCGACTTCTTTTACAACGAGAGCGGCAGACTCTGCGTTTGCTGCCGCGACAACGGCAAAGGCCTCGACTACGCCTCGCTCTACCAGTACTTTCTGCTCTACGGCTCGCCGGAAGACGCAGCCAACAACCCCAACGCTGCGCAGTTTGCAAACGACCCGCGGGGCGTCGGAGCTAAACTCGCAATCGCCCGAATCGCCAACACCGCCGTCGTCGTCTCGCGCACGCTAGACTTGCTGGGCGCCTCGATGTTCTCGTCGAACTTTAACCTCGTGACCAACTCGCTTAGCGTGACTGCGCCGACTTGTTTTTGGAAGCTGTCCTCGAAGAAAATCTTGCTCGCGCAAAGCGACCACCTTGCGATCCAGGAAGCCATCATCCGCCACGGGCACTACTCTTCACCACTCGAATTCGCGCAGTCGCTCAACATGCTCGGCACGCGCTCTGGCACCGCGATCTACTGCTACGATTTCCGTGAAGATACCGGCACCCACTTGACTATAGACTTGAGTCGCGGAATTTGCGTTTCCAGCTACATCGACTGCTTCACACTAAATCCTAACGCCGTGTGTCGCCGCGACGAACTAGCCGGCTCTCCCGATGCTTCGACCTATTTCTTGTCCAACGAAACCTGCCTCACCAAGCTTCATTGCTTCGGCTGGAGCGTCGTCAATCACACGCTGCTCGTTCGCGCGCAATCCGTCGCGACCCCACCGCTTCTGGCTGCCCCGCAGGCGTCTACCATTGGGGAGGCCAAGGATGCAGACGTCGGCGACGCGTCCACGCCGTCTGCGGAACCCTCTGCCGCAGAGTCTTCCAAAACGCACAGCTCCGACTCCGACAGGAGCGCGCAGCTCGACCCGTATGCAGTGCCGAACATTGGCTCAGTTCGCGAGGTCCAGCCCGCGTTTCCGCTTTTTTCGGAAGCCAAAGACGCCATTGACTTCTCGCTTCCGACTTACATGTTCTGGTCTCATTTGTTCATCACGCAAACCATGAGTCACAACCAACTGCTGCTCGACACGCCAGATTACGTCCCGCATCCAACCCACGACATCACCTACAACTCGCTATACCGATACTTAAAACGGAGGCTGCACTGCATGGTAGAACTCAACTACCTGTTCGTTCCGAGCGACGGCCAGCAGCACGGGTTTGGCTTGCTCGGGTTCGTCAACGAGCCCGAGCGACTGCAGAGCAGATCCTCGCCGCTGCCCTACATCGAGGCAGGCGTCTTGCTGTACTGCAAAGAACGACTGGTAAAACGCATGTTCGTGCCCTTTGGCATATCTCCGGCGTTGTTCCGAAAGCTATCTTCTGCAGTTTATCCAGAAACGCATTTCACCGGCAAACCAGCTTTCAAATTTCCTTGCACCGCCATCATCAGTAAGTAATTCTTCAACGCACGCAGACTTACCAGACAGATACGTCCCTGATCTGCAAAACGAAGACTTGATGTGCGCTCGCTCGCCTCTGTACGATGAACTCGAAGCAAACAGTAAGTTGATTGTTTCCCCATCTCAGTAAAGCAACTGCTAAAGCAGTATCTGTCTGTTTGTCTGAACCCTTCGAAACTTTACGAATGGGTGGACGAACGCAACGAGAAGTACATGAACTATTTGGTAAGACACCAACCGCTGGACGCGTCGCTGCACTTAATTTTGTTCAAGTAGTTTTTTTTTTTGTAGCGTTTGAGCACGAATTTAGTGGAAATCTAGCTAGTTCTTCAGCTGGCGCGCCCGCAGAATTTTTTTTTCTGAAACTCCAATTAATTTAGGAAGCACTACGCGAATACTTTAGAATGAATTTACCAAGTTTATAGTTGTTGTCTACTGTGGCCCTGTAGAGCGCAAAAGATGAATCACGATCAACGCCGTGCGCAGTCATTTTCCCCTGAGCAACGTGTTGCGCAGCGTCTAATTGTCGCGCGTTCGCAACGGACTGCAGCGTGTAACCTAGCTCAGTTGCGCGGTGTGCAGAACTCGTGTCCACTCGCGACTGCAGGCGAGATACTGTGTAACCGCGAATTTCAGACGATTCTTTCACAATCCGCTCCAGCTCTCGAGCGTGCGAAGCTTCCGTTCGGCGCTCGCTGTCCGCATCGTCGTACAACTGCGCAACTAGCGTGCTATAGTTTGTGCTGCTCGACGGCGCAAACGCGGACGATGCAGAGTAAGCACGCAAAGCTGCGTTGCTCGCGAGCTCGTTGCTGTACGAAGGATTCGCCAATGTACTCTTCAGCTGGTTCCGAGTGGCTATTGCCCACATAGACAAGATGTATCGGCTGCGGATGCTATTCACTTTTTCTACAGCCTCGCTCAGCTTGCGAATATTTGAGGAAGCTGCTTGCTTCAGCAACCGCCAGTACTTCCGCAGTATACCATCAGAACGCAATCTGGCAATGCGCAGCCGACCTTGACGAAGACGTGCATTGCGCTCCAGCATCAAAATCACGAGACAGCCGCTCCACACTTCCAGTTTTTCTTTTAACAAACTGGTAATTTGTTTGAAGTAGACTCGCTCAGTATGTCGCAGTTTATACAATAGAAAAGAGCGATTCAAAAGGGCTTCGTTGGCTAGATTGTTCACTGCGCGAGTTTTCAGTTTCAGCTTTGTTTCCTTTTGCCAACGCGCAAAGTAGTAGCGCGCCTGAGCGTCTTTACAGCGAATGCTGACAGCATTAAGCTTTAGCGCTAAGAAAGCGGTTCTTAAAGAAGATTGCGTCGCTGCAACGCGTCTCACAAGTTCTCCGGCGTATGCTAAGAAAAGGCGACAATTTTCGTGACATTGATTGGTGAAGTGACGCAGCGCCGGAAAAGCGTAGAATCGCAGCGCAGACAACGCGTAGTGTTTTTTGAAAACACAGAGACTAGGCGACGCGTCGAGGAGGAGCAAGCTGTTATTGACAGACGAGCACGCTGCAAAAAAATTGCGTTTTTCTTTGTTAGTTTTGAGTGATTGGAAACCCAGCCATAGATATCTAGCGTTAAGCATCCTCTCGAGAGAACGGCATAAGGTCAGCACAACTGTCCGCGCTTGAGTAGTTCTGTGCCAAGTTGAAAAATACTTCTGCCGCATCTGGATGTTCCAAGCGCACTGAACAAGGCTAGCTTTGGTCTTCTTGCTTGTGGCGAGTTGCGCCCAGAGCCGAATGATGACAGATGCGCTGCAGAGAAACCTAAGGTGCGCTAAAGCTCGCTCGCCTTCCTGCAGTTTAGTTTCGGCAGTTGCTGCCGAAACCCAAAGAATCAGCATTGCGCGACAGTTTTCTGATGCAATGCGGCTGGCAACCTGCTTTAGCTGCGACGATCGCAAAGCAGAAGCGCGCCAGATTGAAAACGCTTTGCGCGAGTTAAGATGATCAACCAGCGAAAATAATCTCTGCAACGCTTTGCGAGATCTGATGTAGAAGCGCAACTCTACGTAAGCGTAGCGCTCAAGATTTATCAAAAAGTGATCTGCGATACGAGTAAAAGCTTGCTGCTTCTTCTCGTGCTGTATCTTCAAGGTTCTAAAAACATTTGCTTGAAGCCGAGAAGCGAATTTTTGGCGTATCGCCGTAGCTCGACGCTGTTTTCCGGCGTACTGCAGCAAAAGTGCTTGGAAGCTGCAGCGCAAAATTGAAAAATCTCGCTGCTCAACGAGAACACGTAGACTGGCGCGCATCTGCGTTTGACGACGCCACATCTCGAACACAGCAGAGCTGCGTGCAAAGTTGCGCAACACTCGAAAACTGATGCAGGCCAAGTCGAATCTTTTCAGTGTCAGTGCAGCTCGCAGAAAACGGCGAGCGAGACGGTAGTCGTTTAACCGCTTTCGGTGCGCGCGCTGCCAGGTCCGAATGGCAGATAGCAAGTGAAACCTTGTTTTGATGCTGTTCGAAATGAGCAGTCTCTTTTCCACGACGATGAGAAAGATCTTAAAAGCAGTCGTCAACATCTTCTTCGCTCTCCGCTGGGTCAGCAACGCCGTGAGCTCAGTCTTTACGCTGGCGCTGCAGTGCCAGTGTAAGTAAGCTTTCTTGGTTTTGTACAGCAGCAGCAAAAAGTACGTGCGCTCTAGCGCATTCCGCTTTTCCTCGTTGCACGAGCTAACGCTAGCGCACTTCAGCAAATGCCACTTCAATACTATTATGTGACAAAAAACTGATAGCTGCAGCTGCGTAATCTCAGCCAGCGTGTAACCTGCACAGAGCAGACTCTGTGAAGTGCTGTAGCGTTCAGTGCCAAACAAATAGTCGCATCCAACGAGCAAGTGGTATCGAGACTGCACGATTTTTCTGAAGATCGCAGTCAGCGTCTGAATTGACTCTCGAAAAGCTGCCGAGTTATGCGATTTAGTCGTCAGTTTCGACTGCAGCGAACGAAACACAAATAATTCCTTCTGTATCGCTTGGAGATGACCCAAGCTAGAACGTGAGCGGTAGGCAGCCATTGTGAAGCACGAATTATTCGCTGAGTTCGTTGCAACGCCAGTCTCAGAAAGGTCTCGCTGCTGGCTTGTCGAAGAAACGTCATGTGCATCGGGTAAAATAAGAATCTCGTTCGCAGACCCACGGTGTAGTTCGCTCTGCGTCGCAACTAGCTTGTCATGCAATCGCCTAAGGTTAAAACCGTGCGAGCCTTGTTCTAAGCAATAGTGCAGCCGAGTTGCTGTCAAAGTGAGTCTGGCAATCTGCCACTGCCATCGCAGAAAATAGCACACAAGCATGTTAAATTCTCGAAGCTTGACTAACGCATCGAAAAGCTTTTTCGCACGCCTCACGCGCGTCTGCACGTCCATCCACTTCGCGAAACTTCTGTACAATACTTTAGACCTGCCGCAAATTGGCGCTAAGCGCGTTAAATTTTGGATTTCGAGTTGCCTAAGTGAAACGCAAACTACCCATTTCCGAAATGCTACAAACAGTACTAAATTTTGAAAGCCGGGATTGTTGATAAGTACAGCCATCCGCGTTTTGCAAGCTAAAGCAGAGCGTAACACCAGTCGCCATGTTCTCAGAAACTTTTTTCTCACGCGCATGACAGAGTATTCTGAAGCAGCCTCGTCGAGGAAGTACAGACGCGACAACTTGTTAAAGAATATGTGAACGTGGTACCGCAAATACCGCTTAACAAAGAGCTCTTCCACTACGCGCGAAGCTGAAGCTCTGTACACCAGCTTCACAGCCCACCTCTTGACGTAGGTGAGTAAGTAGAAACGCTTAACGTGAGCGAGCAGCGCAACTTCTTTCTGCTGCGCTTTTGCGTTTAGCCGGACAGCTGCGAGAAGTCGCGAACAAACTCTAGCAAGAAACCTCATCTTAACAGCTCTGTTGAACTGAGTGAGCTTGAATTTCGTGTGCAGCCGGTGGCTGAGCATCAGAGCCCAAGCGTTTAATGCGCGAAACAGCAGCGAGTCGCAGTAACTAGCGTGCACTCTTCTGCCGAGCTGCGCTCTCATCTGAAGTTTGCTGTTTCGCTCAGACCGCAGACTGAGGATTTGCTTGCTGTTGTTCATGAACAAGCGAAAATAGTTTTGCGCGAGACTCATGTAGTGCAGCTCGCGAAACCGTGCTGAGTGCTGCGAAAGCGCAAGTAACTTGCGCCAGCGTTGGAAGCAGACAAGCAGCAAGCTGCTTTTGAGAAGCTGCAAAAACAGTGGCGCACGCACTCGAGCGCGCGCTTGCAGTTTAGCCAGTCTACACCAAACCGCAAACTGGCGTTCCAAACGCTTAGAACGGCAATGAGCAAGACGCAGCACGCACGGCAGCGTCAAAAAAGAGCTGTCGAAGCCAATTTGCGCATCCGAGCTCGCGATGCCAGTAGCGTATTGCAACACGGCAGCGCGCTGTCGCAATGCGTTCCTCTTAATCGTTGCCTGCGTCCAGGTCAAAATGTAGCGTTTGAGGACAAGTGCGCGCCGTACGTACGTCAGCGCTGTCTCGGTGCGCGATAGCCTGTCGCTGAACTCCGTAAGAGACGCTAAAGCTTTGCGCTTCAAGTAAATATCGCTGAGGTACGCCAAGCTCGATGCCAAAGGAGTGCCGTTCCACCGCGACCTCCAGCGGAGTAGACAGGCAAGCAGCAATTTGCGTTGCCTCGCAGCGCTCACTTGCCGGAAGCAGCGACACAACCTTAACAGCTTGCGCCACAGAGCAAATCGCTGCCTGGCTATTACGCGCTTGGCAATGACGCCTTTCCGGTCGTAAGCAACAGCGCGCCAGTACCGCACAAATTGAAGCAGAGGTTCGCAAAAAGCGACTCTTCGGATGGTGGTTGCGAGCGCCGCAAAACGCCAGGTTTGAAAAGCTCTCCGTAACCTTCTCGCGCTGCACATCGCAACTATGGCGTTGTGCGCCAGGCGATTAGCGAGCTCGGTGGTCCAGCAGCCGAAGTAGTTTGCTAGTATCTTGTTCCCGCTACTGACAGATAAAACCTCAACGCGCGAGGCATGGCGCGCGGCAAGATTGCAAAGCTGGATCAGACGCGAGCCGAGTATGCGGCAGCGAACTGCGTAATTTATGAGCTCAAGTTGCTGCGCAAGGTCGAAGCGCGCGTAGAGCGCGGCGAGCCAAGCAGCAAACGAGTTGGCCAGCGTGACTCGGTGGAAGAGCGGCAGCTGAGAACGCGGATCGTACCTGCTGGCGAGCAAGCGGCCTACATAGCTAGACTGTACGCGGAAACGAAACACAGCGACTACGCGCACGTAGTAATAGCGACAGACGGCAAGGGACAAGCGCTGCGAGCGCTCAGCGAGTTGCGCAAGTCGGCGAGACCACGCGGAGAACGCGATCCGTTTGACGCTGAGATCCGCGGCATGTGCTAGAAGACCCAGCGCGCGAACAAACTTGTCTTCGGATTGTGCGACGTACGCAGAGCAGCGTCTGTTGGCCAGCAAGAAGCGCAGTGCGGCGAAAGCTTTGCTAGGGGGCAAGAGACTTTCGACGTTGAGTGGCTCACCGTTGGGTGGCAAGCGGTCGATGCACTTCAGCAGAAACCAGTAGTAGCCTGCGTTCATGACCCAGTCGCGCGCCGTCTGCGGGCTTAGCGAGGCTGTAACTACGACTCACACGCAGGCATCGGGTAATACGGGGCGCTAAATAATTTAAAAAGAGTTCGTTAACCGCTGCGTCGGATGGCGCAAATTGGGTACTAGTAGACATTTTGCGGAATGTAGTTGTAGCCGGGATTCATCGGCTGCATTTGCGCGCTGCCAGTTTTAGGCTGCATGCAAAACTTGTTCCACAGGTCGATCAGCGACATGCTGGAACTGATGGTTTTGTCGTCCGTCATCAGCCGGTAGAACTTTACCTCGTAGGGGCCGCCCTGGACGCAAATGAACACGCTCTTGTTAAGCACCATTTTCTCTTGCAAGGCGCCGACAATGTTCATCAGCTGTCGCGCCTTGTCGTTGTTGTCGCGGACTGCGTTGGCGGCGTTCAAACTTACTGTAGCAGTACGCATACGGGTGCACAGCGTCGGGCGAGTTGACGCCGAAGACGGCGTTCAGCCAAGCCGGCGAAACTTCAATGCCGATCCACAGCAGCAGTTCGAGCCCGTTCGTCGCCAGGTACGCGCCTTGCGCGTTGAGCAGCTTTTGGGACGGCCTGCAGAGCGGCGGAAGCACGCAGGCGCCGGCAGAGTCTTTTTCGCCGCAGTTGGGCGGCGCGTTCGCGACTTCGTAGGTTTCGACGTTGTACAGCAGTTGCAGTTTGCGCACGGAGCGCGTGCGCAGACAAGACCAGAGAAAACTGCGCTCGTCAATAGTGACGTCGACGAGCTCGCTGAACAGCGCGCTTTTCGTCATGCCCGAACAGATCGAGACCACTTCGTGGATCGGGTTGTTCTCTTCCAAACTGTAGACGCCGTCGCGGAGCGGCGGCACGACTGGCGCAGTGAGCGCCAACAGGTTCACGACGTTGAAGAACATCGAAGTGTACGTCGAGCGCGCCGCGGACAGCGTCATCTTGGCGGCTTCGAGCATGCACTTGAGCGTCATCAAGTGCGCGGTGGGCAGCGGCTGCAGCGCGGAGGAGAGTTCGCGCTTGTTGTCGGTGGTGGGGAGGCGCGTCGTGATGATGCGGATGCGCCGCTGCCCTGCGGAAGTCGTGTAGAGCGTCGCTAACTGGATGACGAAGTCGGGGTCCACGGCGTTTTCCTCGGTCGTCTCGAGGTCGAGCACAAGCGTCGAGTTGTCCGAAATCGACGGCACGCTCAGCAGCGCGACGCCGCGCAACATGCAGCTGCCGAAGTAGTTCTTGCAGTACCAGCCGTCCGAAATGCGCGCGCGCAGCGCGGCTTCCCAGATGTTGCACGACAAAATGTGCTTGCTTAGGTCGCGCGCGATGGTCAAGTAGTGCGTCTGCGGGTTGAAGTACGGGTAGTAGAAGAGCACGCCGCCGGTGCCTTCGGCGAGGTTCGCGAGCCGCGAGAGCGACGCGCCGAGCCGCGCCTCCGGCGCGACCAAAAAGTCTACCGTGATTTGCGTTTGCGAGTACATCGAGATCGTCGACAAGCAGTACTTGTTCGTGTTCTTCAAGTCGAAGCCGAACTCCGACTCGCTCGCGGAACGCGTGTTCGCGCCCGCGGCGTTTTCGGTGATGAACGGGTCGTTGATCTCGATTGAGTGACACACGATCAACTTCCCGCCGTTATCGCCCATCAACGTCTTCGCAATGTCGAGCGGCTTCGAAATGAAACCGTGCTCCACGTCGGTGTCCTGCCAGTACGAGGGCAACTCTTTCAGCAGCGCGACGATTTGTTCCGCTTTCTCTGACACGCTCCACAGGGGGTCCTGGATCGGCAAAAACAAGTTGTTCGGCCCGTTGTCGGTGATGTGTATCTGCGGCTTGCCGCCGGCCTTCAGCGAGTAAAAGTGCACGTAGTAGTCGTACGTGATCAGCCCGAACAGCGCGCGCTCGAAGCCGGGCAGCATTTGGTTTTCGATCAGGTACACCAGAAAGTTGCACACCGTCTGAACAAACCCGGTAGCGAGCCCCGAAGCGCTGATCTCCAGCGCCACCACGTACATCGGCGTCTGCGGAGTGCGCGTGGTGTACTCCTGCGTCGCGAGGTACTCGAACGCCGAGTAGCAGAGTTCGGGGCGGTTCGTCAAGTCGGAGCGCAACCCCTGGTGGTTCAGCGGCGCGTAGTAGTCGTTCGGCACGGCGTTCAACACTTTGCAAACCGCACAACGCCACTTCGAGCCCTGTTCCGTGAACGAGCAGTAGCAGCTGATGTACGCGCGACACTTGACGCAGCGAATGATCGGCGCGCTCGAGCACGAGTTCACCACCGGCAGTTCGACGTCCGTGTTGTTCAGCTGGTACGCGATGCCGAAGCTCACCTGCACGGCGAGCCGCGTCGCGTGGTTCAGAGGCATCGCCTTGCAAGTGGGCGTCGCGAAGTACGCAGCCGTGTCGATGATGTGCGAAGTGTCGCGCGCCTCTGGCACGTATCCCTGCGACTGCCAGGTTTGCTGTACAAAATGCGACTGCGGCTGCGCGCCTGCCATTGCGCCGTTCGCGGCGGCGGCGTAGGGCTGCTGCGACGGGAACCCAGACTGCGGTGCCGCGTAGGCGGACTGCTGGGACAGATACGTCGCTTGCTGCGCACCGTATCCGGGCTGCTGCGTCTGGTAGCCGAACTGCTGCGCCGCAAACGGCTGCGGCTGCGGCATGTACGCGGCCTGCGGCGCGAAGCTGCGCTGCTCGGCGCCCGATCTGCCCGACTGGCCGTTGCGCGCCAGCTCCGCGTCGTTCGCGCGTTGCGGCGCACCTGCGTACGCGTCGGCTCCTCCCGGATTATGATTGCGCAAGGAACATCTGGCGTAGTCGTGATCAAAATTTTGCATCGCCGCGACTAGCGCATCTAGAGTCGAATTATAATAATCGCAAAAAACTCGTCGCAATGTGCATTTGTCCTTATTA